TCACATAGATTAACTTTTACGGAACATGTAGAATTTACATTTCTTTTTTTTCCATGGCTCAAAAATTACTTTAATAGAAAAAAAAGGAAGTAAAGAACATATATTTTTCAACTTTTGTTAACTATAATTGAAGAAATCAAAGACCATTGATTTTGGCTGTAACATTAAATCCATCAACTGTTTTTCCAGATTACATTGTTGGAAGTATTTGAAATATTTGTTTAGGTGGAAAAATTTTCAGATGTTTTTGCATTTACACACAAATGTCAGTTTCAGAAAGTGATTATAAAAGTTAAGCAGAAAAATATAATGATAAAAGTAAACAGATTTAAAACTTTGGTTCCTGACTTATATCCTCATTTAAGGGCAATCACTCCTATAAAGAGTGACAGTCTACTAACTCCAATAAGGAGTTGTCGAACGATTTCCTGCATTTTGTCTTCATTGTTTAAGTTTCTGTCTATCTATTCAAATTTTTAAGATATAAGGCAAAAACGCAAAAAATTGGTAAAAATCGTCATCAAAGGGCAATAACTCTACCACTAGACATATTTGTAGAACTTGTCTAGCTGGTCATTTTTGCGATTTAAAGTTTCTCTCTATCTATTATAGTTTTCAAGATAATAGGAAAAAATGTAAGAACAAAAAATAGTAAAATTTGTCATTTAAGGGCAATAACTCTTACAAGAAGTTTTGACGTATATAGAACATTGGTAGAACTCAACATTCTGAACATTTCCGTTCGTGTCAGATTTTCTTTATTTATAAAGTTTTTCAAAAAAATAGACAAAACTTGCATTTTACCCCTATGTTCTATATATAGCAATGTCGGCCATCTTGGTTGGCAGGCGGGGTCATCGGACACATTTTTTAAACTTGATAACCAAATGATGATTGTGTTCAAGTTTCAGACGAGAAGATTTTTGTAAAAGTTAACAGAGAACGACGGCCGACGACGACGGACGACGGACGCCAAGTGATGAGAACAATTTTTTAGAGCAATAGTTTAGTCGATCTACTGTGGATAATTTTGTAGGTTCCTTCCCTTATATCACTTTAATTACAGTACAATGTAATTAAAATGTAAAGGTACCAAAATTAATTTGATGCCATTTGTGCACATTTAGAATTCTATTTATTTCTCGTTTGTGGTGCTTGAAACTTACTGTTGGAAATTGAATAATACCAAACGTTGAAGAACACTAAACCCTAAATTTCACGCTGACACAAAAGAAAATACGTGTCAATCCAGCGGGAAATCTCAGATTTAAACAAATATTACTCTGACTTCCTCTTCTATTTCGATTGTATGTTTATCTAGAAAAACTACACAGAGGTCGAAAAGTGGCTGTCGATCCACGGCTGCATCATTCGAACATAGTAAGACAATCGGAATATGAAGCAAGATAAAATAGACTTATAAATCTTCTAGAAAGACTGCTCTACTATCTACAGCATGGTGATAGCTCAGAAACATGGACAACTGTGAGCAGACCACAATCAGTGAACAAGGAAACAGTCGAAAAGACTGAAACAGTTAATCAAACAGTGAATCTGCTGCTAACTTTATTCAGCAAGTCAGAAGAGAAGGAAAAGGTATATATGTATATGTATTACCTTTTATTTATCAACTATACAAAATCCAAAAAATCATGAATTGTTTTAATTAGTAAGTAATAGTTGAAATAATTTCTAATTATTTTTTAGTTGATTAACGATTTCATTGATTGAATATCAATATTACATGCAATCATGCTAACATTATCTGGAGTTCAGGACTACATAAGTCGTCACACGAAGTTTGTCTGAATAGCTGAAGTTTTTACAAAAATAAAGCTAATTACATCTAAAGCCATATAGGATAGAATATTTGTGCGATATATCAAACTCTAAATGGCAAAGCGTCTAGATAAGTGAGGAAAGTATTTGCAAAGGTTTACAAGTATTCGCTATCAACAACTGAATCGTTAAAGGGCTCCATTAAACACCACGTTGACATTAACAAAGACAGAAACTGACGATGTTCCTTACTTCAGACTGTCACATGTAATGCTGGTGGGTCGAACTAGTTTCTGGCCAATCTTTATGTCCCTTCTATTTTCATCTCAATTATTAAAAGAACGAACGGTAATAAAAGATTCAATTACAAACTAAGTCTGGAAAAGCAAATTACTATGAAAGCTGCAAAAAAACAATACCGAGTAACACCGTATCACAAAATAGTCTACATAAACTATAAACAGAGACATATGTAATTCTATTATAGTTCAAAGTATACTCATTCTGCTCACATAAAAATCATGATGTCTTACACTTTATTATGGTCTTATGTCCTTCAAACAATATGCCAAATGGCAAATCATGAACATGACAGAAAGCCAGATTTTCAAAATGCCCAAAGTAACTTGTGTACAGTTCCGGTACAAAAAAAAGAAAAAAAATTATGTCTTTTTATATATGATAATATCCAGTAAAGCTGGCCTTGAAATATCAATTTACATTTAATTGTATCATGAGAAATCATACGTTCTGTTTCCGAGTTAACATTTAATTTTTTTTTTTTATGTGTTCCATTATGAAGTTTTTCGTTATAAAAATATTTACGTTCTTTTGCATAACGAACCTTCTGAAAAATTGATACTCCGTAAGAAGTAGCCGATAGAGAGAAAAGGAAAGCTAACAATTAGATACACAGTCTAACAACGATGTACATGCGATTGATAGATGAAGAATGTTGAAGAATCAACGTTAGCATACATACAACTGCTTTAAGGTTAAAGCAGGAAAGGACGTCAGGTGAAACAAACAGGGCTTGTAATTACAATCATCTGTATTGTTGTAATTTTTAGAATATCAAATACCGTGTTGCACATGTTTCCAAACATTTCAGGATACTGTTTATTTGATTGAAGAACTCTCGAAAGACCTGAAACAGCATGGGTTTATTCTTTTACCAGAAGACATTAGACGGACGATGGATTTAATGGAAGAGTTCACATTCAACCATAGAGTAAAGATTGCATCAGACATATTCAAATGTGTAAGTAGAAAGTAATTAAATCGGAAGTAGTTAAACTTTGTTCTGATAATTTTTTGCGATGCCTTGTAAGAAGAATGTGTATTTTAATGTACTTTTGACCAAAGTACAGGACGCAATATGATCAAAGTTTTTGTCCATCATAAATAGATGCTGGCATTATTCTTAAACGTCACGTTCCGCTATACACAGAGGATGCCATCTCACAAAATGATTTAAAGTTTGGGGACTGTGTCAATCGCATTTAACCCATTGAACTAGAAATAAAGGATACCACAGATACAGTTAAGTTTGCCTCATATCTTGACTTACATCTAGATATTGACAACAAAGGTCTGTTTGGAACTTTATTTTTCGAAAAAATTATATTTCAAAGGGACATAACAGCCTTACAAAATATTTAACTACATCGGCGCCGGTTTTCTCCGAACTTGTTGCAAATATAGCTGACAATAAACCTTGGCACAAATTTCGTTAAAACCCAAAGAAGGAAAAATGTTAGTTCAATTTTGAGTATTATTTACATTTGGAAGGAACATAACTCCCTAACAAATAAATCGATCGGCATCGATTTTTTTTACAAACTCTTCCAAGATATTGCTCTTACAAACCTTTTACATAAATTATTATTGAGATCTAATGAGAAATGTAGGCATAAGAGAGCTTACAATGGTGTTTTCCATAATTCTAACATATTCAAGGAACATCCAAAAAAACATGAATAATCGATCGGCGCCGAATCATCGAAGATATTGCTGAAATACTGAATTTTCATCAATTTCATGAAAATTGGATGATGTCTGCAGGTACAAGAACATTTAAAATGTTGAACGGACATCAGCATTTCCAGATCCCCTCTTCTCTCCACGCCGGGAGAGACAATAATCGCATTTTAGTAGAATTCATACCTAATCAAATACTAGCTGATTTCTAAAGAGAATTGAAAAGTTGATGAAAGGAATACATGCTGAATCGTCAATAAACGCTAATATATCTATTTTCTATATATAAACCCTATAAGATGGATTATTTACTCGTTATCTATTAACAGATTTTTTTATATATAACATCCCAGCAAACCATGATTACCCATACATTTTATCTTTAAAAATGTACTTATTCTACCTGTACAAAGATTTAAATTCAGAGGTCAATGCATAAGAGAGACGAAAGATGCAAAAGAGATATTCAAACTTATAAGTCGAAAACAAACTGACATTGCCACGGCAAATCACGAAAAACGATCAAAAGACAAACAACAGTATACAAACACAACATGGAAAACTAAAGACTGTTGCACCCGTCAAGTTGCTCATGTAAGTACAAATCCGGGGATAAGTCTTATTCGGTATGTCAAAGTCAAGGAAAAGGGGACTGGATTGTGGCTACGACAATTGGAACATATTCGTCGTCATCTGCGAAAGAGATATTCCATAGGGGCCAACCAACTCGTGATGGCGTCCGTAAAATTTTCAATGGGATGATTCAGCTTCACCGCTTGAAGCTATTGCTTTAATTGCTTCCTTGTAAATAACAACCCTCTAATATACTGTCTTTTCAAAGGACTCCACATTTTTCACATCTGAAATTTTAAGAATATGTGCAAGTTATCAGACTAACAAAAATGGTACTAATTTAAGCGCTGAAGACATTTTTTTTTTCTGGAACAACAATTCTCAGGTATGCCCGAAACCAAAAGTTTTTGAAGACTTACACAACACGATGTGTAGAACCAAAAGCAGTAGTGTCAAACAATATTGTCAACACTAACTTACGAATTCATTCTCAGCATTATTTTTCTAGGACTAATTCTTCAACATTTAAAAACTTCCAAAATTTATATTTAAAGAAGTGTTGGTGTAACCATTGTAATTGTCTTCATTGAAAACGTTTTTGCTTTATTATTCAATTTGTTAAATTTTCATATCAGAGGATGTGTCAAAACATGTTTTATTTATTACAGGTTAACGAGATAGTAACATTGCTGACTAGTGAATGGAATGCGTTAGAAAGATAGTCATATTGAAAGAAACAACACCATGACTGAACGGCAAAGCTGTTATGTTTGTTCTGTTTTGTAGCTTACCTACATTAAACTTATTACGTATTCTAGCAATCCATTCTCGTCAAATTTTAAATGTCATATTTGTCAATATTTGCACAAAGTTAAACAGACGCCATTACAAGATGGTTAATCGTTATAATACATCTTTGTCACAGATGACCACGAAAATGTTTGAATTAGCGTAACCACAATCCCGTCCTGTATTTCTTAATTCTGACATCACCGAATGATTCTTATCAACGGATATGTACTTACCATGAGCACCATGACGGGTGTCACATGTGGAGCAGAACCTGCTTACACTTCCGATGTAATTGAAACCCCCTGGTTTTGTTTAAAAGGGGTCGTGTTGCTCTTGCTTTAGTTATTTGGTATTGTACTTTGTGCTTTTTAATTTTTCGATGTCTTTGTTGTTTTAACTGGTCACAGTCTTGTCTATCCTTTGTCCTGAAAAAGCATGTTTCAATTTCAAAATTTCACATTTGGCCAAGTTTAATGGTTAGAAAATTTTGCATGACCGACGTTTTACGTATTTGGTGATATAGACGTTAATTACCATTGTGATAGTGCGTGATACCTAATCACTTGATATATCGTATCAACGTACTTTAAATGAGTAGGAGCTGGATCTGCTCACCCTTCCGGAGCACCTGAGTTTACCCCTCACCTTGGTGAGGTTCGTATGGCTCAGTCTTTAGTTTTCGACGTAGTGTTTTGTGGACATATTGATTTTTTCGTTGTTTTTCGTTTTTTACCATGGTGTTGTCAATTTCTCTTCGACTTATGAGTTTTGAATGTCCCTTTGTTATCTTCTACCTCTTTTTTAATACCGAGATTAAAAACGAAAAACATTTACTGTGAATTAATATTTACACACTGATATTTTGGGGCAAATTGTATGCCTATTTAACGTATAGTTATTTGTATCTGAGGCTCACTACAGTTACGCAGAGGTAAATTAGATGTTGTACTTGGTCTTTCTTCTACGTATGGATTGTGATTTTCACTTTGTTACCTTCTTCTTTTTTTGTAATAATGAATTTAAAATGTAGGAACTGCAAAGTACAACTACAACAATTTTTATTTGAAGTGCTAATAGAAAAGAGGATATTTTGGATAGTAGAAGAATTTTTCGTTGCAACAAGCCACCCACGAACCCCTCGAAGAGTTGTTGCAGCCTTGACACTCTCCCTTTACGTCAATATCGCGACTGCACATGGCTGCGTATTTATAAATCCTGCACAGTCATACGGACGCCCTAAACATTGGTCTGACTGTCCTACTATTGATAACGTCTCATCAGGTACGCTCATATCCAAAGGATTTTTTGTTGACGATTTATAAAAACATTTGAATAACATACTATTACAATTTTCTTGGAACTGACATGTCACCATCAGATACCGTATAAAGACACAATGTTGGAACATCGCAGTCAAACATACTTGGACTTCAAACATTTCTAGCATCCGAGTTGATCACCCAATTTTTGGTTGGGTTCGTGTTGCTCAATATTCATAGCTTTCTGTGTGGTGTTTTGTATTGTTAGTTTTTGTCTTTTTGTCATTTTTCTGTTTATCCATGGTGTTGTCTGTTATTGTCCCCTGCTCATCTCTTCTGATTGCCCTCTTTGTAACTTCTCCCTCTTTTTAGACTTTGTTGATCGTTGTGCATATATGTATATAAATAAGTTGTCGCATTTCATATTATAAAGTTTTCCTTAATTTGGGGAGTTGGGGGCTCATGGCAGAACTTTGTTTCTGTAAAGTTTTTTTCACAACTTTTATATAATGGAAATGATTTTGAGTTTGTCATATTTTTTGGCCACCTGTCTATTGTTGAAGATTTTATGTTGCCCTCTAGATGTCTACTGATAATTTGTGTCATTGGGTTGCTGTCTTTTTGATGTATTATAATACCCCACATCTCCTTTTATTCACATAAATTAACTTTTACGGAACATGTAGCATTTACATTTCTTTTTTTTTCCATGGCTCAAAAATTACTTTAATAGAAAAAAAGGAAGTAAAGAACATATATTTTTCATTAACTTTTGTTAACTATAATTGAAGAAATCAAAGACCATTGATTTTGGCTGTAACATTAAATCCATCAACTGTTTTTCCAGATTACATTGTTGGAAGTATTTTAAATATTTGTTTAGGTGGACAAATTTTCAGATGTTTTTGCAATTACACACAAATGTCAGTTTTAGAAAGTGATTATAAAAGTTAAGCAGAAAAATATAATGATAAAAGTAAACAGATTTAAAACTTTGGTTCGTGACTTATATCCTCATTTAAGGGCAATCACTCCTATAAAAAGTGACAGTCTACTAACTCCAATAAGGAGTTGTCGAACGATTTCTTGCATTTTGTCTTCATTGTTTAAGTTTCTGTCTATCTATACAAATTTTTAAGATATAAGGCAAAAACGCAAAAAATTGGTAAAATCGTCATCAAAGGGCAATAACTCTACCATAAGACATATTTGTAGGACTTGTCTAGCTGGTCATTTTTGCGATTTAAAGTTTCTCTCTATCTATTATAGTTTTCAAGATAGTAGGCAAAAATAAAAAAAAAGAGTAAAATTTGTCATTTAAGGGCAATCACTCTTACAAGAAGTTTTGACGTATATAGAACATTGGTAGAACTCAACATTCTGAACATTTCTGTTCATGTCAGATTTTCTTTATTTATAACGTTTTTCAAAATAATAGACAAAACTTGCATTTTACCCCTATGTTCTATTTATAGCCATGTCGGCCATCTTGGTTGGCAGGCGGGGTCATCGGACACATTTTTTTAAACTAGATAACCAAATGATGATTGTGTTCAAGTTTCAGAAGAGAAGATTTTTGTAAAAGTTAACAGAGAACGACGGCCGACGACGACGGACGACGGACGCCAAGTGATGAGAAAAGGTCACTTGGCCCTTTGGACCAGGGGAGCTAAAAGAAGAAAGATCATTTTTATGGTGTACATAATGATGGTAGGTTCAGATGGATGTATTTAGAATAATCTTGATAATTTAGAAGAATAAATAAGTATTTTGTTACCAAATTTTGCAATGTTCGAATCGCTTTTTTTAACTTTCACCAATAGTACTTTGACCAAACAGTTGGCATTGACAGTATACATACAGCGTAAGAAATAGCAATAATCATTGGCCTTTTTCCTCATGCAAAGACTATGTACTTTTTTTTATCGACGTGTTAGTCTTTGAGATTTGCTAATAGCATAAAGATGCATTCCATTTGGGAGCAATAAATATGCACTTGCAGTGAGATGAGATTTTTTTTTGTTGGCTCCATGTTGAAGGCCTCACTGTGATTTTGAGATGAAGAACCTCAATAAAAGCGCTGTTCCTTTGCTTTTTGTGTTTTTTTGTTTTTTTGCTGTGCATGTACATGTAAAGGTTACAAATTTGTTGACTGAGAGTATAACGGATACTGGTTGGCGCCCAAACAAAGCCTGCAAGGCGGATGCTTATTCTTGGAACTTGGACTTCAAACATTTCTAGCATCCGAGTTGATCACCCAATTTTTGGTTGGGTTCGTGTTGCTCAATATTCATAGCTTTCTGTGTAGTGTTTTATTTTGTTAGTTTTTTTGTCTTTTTGCCATTTTTCTGTTTATCCATAGTATTGTCAGTTTTTTTCTGCTTATCTCTTCTGATTGCCCTCTTTGTAACTTCTCCCTCTTTTTAGACTTTGTTGATCGTTGTGCATATATGTATATAAAGAAGTTGTCGCATTTCATATTATAAAGTTTTCCTTAATTTGGGGAGTTGGGGGCTCATGGCACAACTTTGTTTCTGTAAAGTTTTTTTTCACAACTTTTATAAAATGGAAATGGTTTTGAGCTTGTCATATTTTTTGGCCACCTGTCTATTGTTGATGATTTTATGTTGCCCTCTAGATGTCTACTGATAATTTCTGTCATCGGGTTTCTTTTTGATGTATTACAATACCCCACATCTCCTTTTATTCACATAGATTAACTTTTACGGAACATGTAGAATTTCCATTTTTTTTCCATGGCTCAAAAATTACTTTAATAGAAAAAAAAGGAAGTAAGGAACATATATTTTTCAACTTTTGTTAACTATAATTGAAGAAATCAAAGACCATTGATTTTGGCTGTAACATTAAATCCATCAACTGTTTTTCCAGATTACATTGTTGGAAGTATTTGAAATATTTGTTTAGATGGAAGAATTTTCGGATGTTTTTGCATTTACACACAAATGTCAGTTTCAGAAAGTGATTATAAAAGTTAAGCAGAAAAATATAATGATAAAAGTAAACAGATTTAAAACTTTGGTTCGTGACTTATATCCTCATTTAAGGGCAATCACTCCTATAAAGAGTGACAGTCTACTAACTCCAATAAGGAGTTGTCGAACGATTTCCTGCATTTTGTCTTCATTGTTTAAGTTTCTGTCTATCTATTCAAATTTTTAAGATATAAGGCAAAAACGCAAAAAATTGGTAAAAATCGTCATCAAAGGGCAATAACTCTACCACTAGACATATTTGTAGAACTTGTCTAGCTGGTCATTTTTGCGATTTAAAGTTTCTCTCTATCTATTATAGTTTTCAAGATAATAGGCAAAAATGAAAGAACAAAAAATTTGAAAATTTGTCATTTAAGGGCAATAACTCTTACAAGAAGTTTTGACGTATATAGAACATTGGTAGAACTCAACATTCTGAACATTTCTGTTCATGTCAGATTTTCTTTATTTATAAAGTTTTTCAAAATAATAGACAAAACTTGCATTTTACCCCTATGTTCTATATATAGCCATGTCGGCCATCTTGGTTGGCAGGCGGGGTCATCGGACACATTTTTAAACTTGATAACCAAATGATGATTGTGTTCAAGTTTCAGACAAGAAGATTTTTGTAAAAGTTAACAGAGAACGACGGCCGACGACGACGGACGACGGACGCCAAGTGATGAGAAAAGGTCACTTGGCCCTTTGGGCCAGGGGAGCTAAAAGGAGAAAGATCATTTTTTATGGTGTAC